TCTATTTCTTCCTCTCTTTTTAAACTATGTTTTCCGCATTTGAAGAATTGTCGTCAAACTAAACTAACTTTCTAAACTTAAAAAGATAGTTAAATATATTTCCACGCGTGATATATAACAATTATCTTTTATGTGATTATTTTCAATCTCTGATCTTTTTATATTTTTTTATGTAATCGCCAGCTGTTTTTAGAAATTCTCGAATTCTTTATTATACTGATCAAAAGAGGAGATCTCAAGCGGTACTTCATCATAAATGTCGAAATTGCTTGTGTCACCGCTATTACTGCACTGGGGAATGAAACTCGGTTGCACCTTCTGATGATAGATCTCGATCCAGTCGATGGACTGGAACCAGCGATGCTTCTTAATGTCCATGCTGCCCTCCTTCAGATTGCCGTATCTTCTTGTCAGATCCACCTGCAAGATGTTCTTCAATATGTCCCTCAACTCCTCACCGAAGTGATGCGCGAACTTGTATTTGCCCGCGACAATCTTCTCGTAGATCTTCATGGGATCGTGCGCGTAGAACGGCGGATATCCCGCGTTCATCTCGTAAATCAGCACGCCAAAGCTCCACCAATCGACGGCCTTGCCGTAACCTTTCGACTGGATCACTTCCGGTGCCAGATAGTCCGGTGTGCCGCACAACGTCCATGTGCGACCGTTTACCATCTTGCAGAAACCGAAATCAGTCACCGTGATGTAGCCGGAATTCTGTATCAAAATATTTTCTGGCTTCAAGTCTCGATAGATCAGGCTGCAATGGTGCAGATATTCCAAGGCTAAGACAACTTGAGCAGCGTAGAATCTTGCCAGCGATTCATCAAATTTCCCCATACGTCTGAGATGAGTGAACATCTCGCCACCTTGAACGAACGGCATTACCATGTACACGTACGAATTATCCTTGAAGATTAAAATACAACACATTTATGTCTTACAGAAATATTTTGAATGTTTATTAAATATACACAGAAAAAAATTAGTAAATTAAGATAGATATTCTCATATATAAGCAAAAATATTATAATCTTCTTGGAAAAATTGTAGGTTTGATTAAACTTGTGTTAGTGTAAATATATATATATATATATTTATATATATATATATATTTTTATGTATAAGCAAAAATATTATAATTTTCATACAGAAGATTTTTAATCTTGAATTGAGCAAAAGTACTTACTTGTATATGTCAATACAAATTTAATCAAATCAGAAGATTATGAGATTATTTCAATTTTCTCTCAAGAATAATATTTTTGAATTATAATATTCTTGCTTATATAAGAGAAATTTGTCTTAATTTAATACTAACTTTTTTTCTGTGTAGGAATAGACAATTTAATTTTTTTTAAAGACAGTTTGTCAAAAAAAATCAATCTGCTTGATGTGTTCCATATATATTTATAAGATTCAAAGGATCAATAATATCGCTTTTAGCGATCCTTACCTTGAAGAAGAAATGCATAAAGACCATAAAAGGAAAGTTGATGCACTGTAGAATACGCTTTTCGTTACGTGTATGGTCTACTTGCTTCATCTTCACAAGGCCCGTTTTATCGAGAATCTTCATGGCATAGTACGCGGATGTTGATTTATGTTTGACGAGAACAACGCGACCGAAGGCACCGGCGCCGAGGGTTCGAAAACGATCGAAATCCTCTAGTTTCGCATTGTCATTTACTTTCGTCTTCCACTTCTCCAAAAACGTCTCTTTTAGATTATCTAGAATCTCGTTGTACTCTTTGAACATCCGTTCTCTTTCGGTGTCGACCATTTATGTATTGGGTATTTAAATTTAATTCTTCAATCTTCGAACCGCAGGGTTAAGGCGACACGAGATGACAGAACATATCGCTTTAACATTGCTCTGTTTATGATGATCGTATATTGTTTTTTATGATGCAATTGCGAGCATTGCGTTATAGCTTGCTTTTCTATATTATCACAATTAAAAATTAAATTCTCTTCTAAAATTGTTTACACGGACGTACAAATACGATAAAAATAGAAATATCTACTGACTCTTTTTGTCATTGTATAAAATTCTCTATAAGCCATGCGAGAAAATCTTTTTGACAAACAGCGGAAATTGGCACTCCACCGGCGCCGGCGTTGGTCGCGGATTCCTTGACGGCGACCTCGCTCAGTCTCGAATGGAAAGGAGTAGACATAGACAGACGCGCCGGAGGCATTTCATACCTGGTTCAATGGAGATACGAAGAATTAGCTGAGACATGGCAGTACTGTCGGAATCAGTCATGGGGCGAAGGTGATCAAATATTAGTCGAGAATTTGCAGCCATACACCAAGTACAGGGTATGTAAAAGTGAGGAAAAAAAACATGAGGAGAAAGAGACGAAGATATTATATCTGAGATAAACCGCAGATAAATTACAAGCAGAACGATCTTTCTTATTCCGTTCGCTGTAATATGTAATATAATGTAATAATACATAGATCTAAGTGAATCAGATAATTAATGAAATAAAATAAAATGCCCATAATGAAATAATTCCCAAGAGATTCCATCCACGCACATTATAATCTTAGACCCGAGTGTAGACTTTAGGTGAAGTGCACTTAAACTGTTGAATCGTTTCTCTCCCTGTGGGGGGGTGTAACGATCTTCACTGGGGAAAAAAAAAAAAGAAAAAAGAGAGAGGAAAAAAAACAACGTTGGCGTTTGCAGTTTCGCGTAGCGCTGCTCCTGAAATCGTCGCAGCACAATCCGGAGCCGATCGTGTCAGCGCCGAGCGTGGTAATTTTAACGTACGCGGACGGTCTACCGACATCAGCACCGGTAATTGTAAGAGCGGCGGCGGTAGACAGCTACCGGGTGTCTGTGTCTTGGGAACCGGGCCCATTCCCGAATGGGCCACTTTTGTCCTATGTCCTGCGTCTGCAAGGGGTTGAACACTCGCAGCTTAAGGTACACGCCACGCCAGAAATCGTATATATATATATAT